GGGTAGAATAACGATTTAGTTTTACATTCAGGGTAACTTTAAACGTTACAATTTTCTTTTATTTCAGATTCCCATTTTCTTACGGGGATAATCGTGTTCGGTTTCGAAAAATCGTTGACAGATAGTTTCCAGCATTAATAACATTCGGTATTATTTGTAACTAGAGTATAAATTAGAAAGTTTTACATAAAGCAATGGCCGAATTCATCTATACTTATCGACTGGAAAAGTCATTTCATTAATTGGGAACCAATGACACTAATGCTATCATGGCAAATTGAATCTAGAAGAGTAAAGGAATCCGCACTTAGTTTTATTTTGTAAAAATGATCCTAATCGGATAATAATTATTAGGGGTTTAAACCACCACTTGATTAAGAGACTAGTTATTGGGTTTATGGTGAACCCTTCAGATGATCTGTAATTGCTTTATAGAAGTGGTAATAGATTAAGGTGTATGTTGTATAAAGCATCCGACGACAACAACATCCGGGAACAACTGTCATTCGGACCAAAGAAATTAACCAGTTTTTGAATAACATTTCAAACAAATCACGTCAGTGTGTTTTCTAATTAACACCCGCCACCGTTGAATATTCATCTTCATTGGTCGTGGGTTCTGGTGAAAGTTATAATGTGCTTATTCCCATGCCAACGTTTTCTAGTTTAAATACTGGACTATTTTTTGTAGAGCCTATCTATGGTACCACCAGTTGAGTTTTCCCTAAACAAACTTTCTTGGCCCAAAGCGCTGGGCCATTCGTGTCTAATAGTGCACTATAGACAGTCCACAAATAAACAAACACAAACAAACCAAGAAAATAAATGTCAGTCAAACACACGCGACACCAAACATTTCTAAAAATCAATAGAGTCAATCTGAATTTATAACATTCCATAATTGTGTGCTAAATTAAATTTTTTTTGGAAAAAAACCCAGACTATAAGAGGCTGCACTTTCAATACATGTACTTAATAATTTTATGGAATTGGTCACCGGAGATTAGGGATTGGAAATGCCCCCCCCCCCCCCATAAAAAGTGATTTGTCTGCTTGATTTATATTTACTTTAAATGTCACAGTTGTCTTTTATTTCAGAATCTCATTTTCTTGATGGGATAATCTCGTTCTGTTTGATTTCAACAACAACTGATCTCATTTCATTACTATATCCAATTGTAACTTACGCAGATTCCAAATGCGGGCCCAGAAAACAGGGTAGACATTTGGTATGGAGGGTGTCGATAAGACTGCTAGACAATAACCAAGAACATCCAAAATTGATATAATGTTTTGGTTCATCTCGCTCTTGAGATTCTGTAACGACCAATTAACCATCATATAGAATATGTAGCCTCCGCAGGGAATAATTTCTGAGGTGAAACCGCGGACGCTTCTCACCATTAACGCCACAGGTACGTGTATAGGTATTAATCGGGCATTTTTATTGGAATATATCGGAACGTCACGACTGCACTTTCCAAAATTCACTTAAAGCTAGGTTCCCACCCTCGCGCGATTCGTTAGCAACGCGACAGTTGACTATGCTTAGCTGATCGTGGAACTTTTATTTACTTCTCTGGAATTTTACGTTTGAATACGAGGTAATGCGATTCGGTACGTTCTGGTATGATTTGGTGCGCTTGGATGCGACATGGTCACACTGGTCAATAACAGATGACACTTTCAGATACGATCAGCTCCGTTCCGATAGGATTGTCCCTATTGAGTCCACGATCTGGTATTATATGCATATTCGGCTGGAAATCGTTATACAAACCCATGAAGCGGTCTAATTCATGCAAAGTATCATGCAGAGATACAGTGCCTCTGATTTTCGCGTAAGCTACGTCTGTCAGATCGGTCGAAATAACTTGGTCTAGTCTTCGACACGGAATCAAGGGTCAAAGTCGAAGGCACCAAATTCAATTTCTTTTGGATTTTCCCCCAGTCAAAACCCCACCTAAATCATTGATTTTGGAACTACTTCACGAAATGATTGCCCTGTTGGAGGAACTGCCAAAACTATCAAAAATTAACCGTCGCTACCTGGCTGCGACTTCAGTATCTCCTGTACGTTTTAATTTCGGCATATGGACGTGTCTACGGGTAAAGGCGCACGTCTCTTCCGATGCAATTGTATTCCTGCTGGAAAATGATGGTTCCTATTAAAATTAAGAGTCCAGAATAAAACTAATAACCAAGAATAACTTCCTCTAGTATCTGAAATAGGTTGGGTACAAAATTTTTAACGCGTTAACCAGTCAAAGGAAATTTTAATTTGCTCACAGCCCTGGTGTGGTCCATTGCGTTCGCATCTGACTACAGCGATTTTCAACTGTATAAAGGTACTTATCCAGCGTCTAGTGCTTTTTACTCGACTACCAAGGCCCCTAGCCCAGATAGGCCTACGCATGCCTTACACCTGCAGCTTTAACACGAATAACGATTCATCTTGAAAAGAGTACCGTCAATAATACCTGTCAACGGGTTGGGCACTACATTTATTATTAATAATTAGTGTGATCAGTGTAAATATAACGCGTTGGTCGTCAAATCGTCAACGACTCATTTGGCCTATTACGCTGAATACAAAATGGTACTTTCATTAACATATTTTTAAGCCACGGCTATTATTTGTTTGTTGTTTTTTTCAGCCCTATAGATGCGTCAGCTTAGATATTGGTTTTATTGGTGAATTTGAAACGTGTTTATATAATGTTATGATCTGGTGTATCGGTTACGTTCAATAAGTTGTGTCGTTCTCAGTTCTTGTTTGGAGACATTGAAAATCGATAAACTGATTAACAAGCCATTTAGAAAGGAATGAACACCGTGGGCATATAATTAGAAACATGATGGGAAGACACGGATTGTAGATTTATCACATTACCCTTATTAGTAAGTTTTATTTTGTAGTGTGTTGAACAAGAAAACGTCAAAGTCTGACCACTGATTTGCAGTAATTCAAAGGAGCTAAAGGTCTTACTCAATATTTTCCATAATATTCGAAAATTAAAAGCACGAATTAAAACTTGCAGTAATTTAAAGGAGCTAAACGTCTTACTCAATAGTTTCCATAATATTCGAAAATTAAAAGCACGAATTAAAATTAAATAGTGGTCCATTTTAATCAATATTGATGTTGCTATCTTATCGTGAAAACATGAGAACCTAATATCCAATATTTAAGACACAATTAACATTTTATAATCAGTATACGAGTTGTGTATCCTATGGTTTCGGGTGCTATTTGTAATGAACCAAGAAAATATATCCTACAAGACAATGCGAATGTAGCCTAAGTAGTAATGGATGGTGCACAAACGTCAAAATAATACTAAAAAACGTGTAGAATGAACCAGCCCTTCAATTTGAACTATTCATGTATTTTACCCAATATAGGCTAACTGATTAAAAATTACAATATTTAAAAAAAAATGAATATAAATCACTTTAAATACATTCATATTTGCTTTTAGACCCATGTTCATCTATTTAAAGGTTCCAAAGAATAGAGCCATACGCCCTTTAAAGTTTGTTCGACACCGGAAAAGAAAAGGGATTGCCCACACATTTTAACAGTTTAATTAAACTCCGCAATTAGCTAGAAAAAAAACACTGTGGCTCGATGTTGTGTTTAAATTAAAAGTCGACCAATTAGCTATAGTCGGATCACTATATTACTCCTAACACTTTACTAAAACTATAAATCAGACGATCGATGTCCCCACACTTGGCCTACTATATAATTGGCTATAAATTTCAATCTATCCACCACTTAGATTAGTGGTAGGCCTAAGCCTGTTTCTGTTATCTATCTATTGTAGGTCCGTGTTATAAAAATATGCCGAAGCTAGGACAGCTTCTGCAACAGCCCCCGAAACAATTAGTAGGGCCTACTGAATTACCTGTAGCCTACTTAAATCGATGGGCAATTAAGGGGGTGGGACTGGGGGCTGCCCTCTGCAAACAGAATGAAGTTGGGTAGGTCTACGTAGGGCCTATTATCTTTTTGCAGCAGTTACCAGGGGTTCTTTAACTTTAACAGCCACGAGACCTCGGTTTACCGTCCCATCCGAACGACTTGAAAGTCTCTCTGCGGTGGGGCCCAGAATATAAGGTGCTTGCACAGTAGGCTAGCCTAACCGGGACCCGAAATCGCTCCCGATGTGAGTCGAGAAGGTTCCTCGTTATTTTTCAGTGTGTTTTCCCATTTTCAGTGGTGCAGGACGGAAGTCCTGACAATGGGAAGCATCTATAGTCGTTCGGGTGGGAAAACCCCAGTTCCCAGAGGTACGCGTAAACGTAAAACCCAACCTAGCTTCTTCCCTTTGCGCTGTACTTACTAAAGTTGACAACCTGAGCAATTGTAGTCTGTGAACTTCTTAAACGAGCGGTGCCCACTGGCATCCGTCGTTACAGTAATAGCAAGTATACCCTGTTCAAAAATAACAGAATGTATGGTTTTTCATAAGGTGTTGACGCCAGGCTGAACTCTGACTTTGCGTCCATTATCATGCAGGCCGGTAACAAAATGATAGCGTGACCGCGAGCTACTCTAGCAGACGACAGATGTGTGGTCGGGGGAGACACGAGGAATTTATCATTTCTTCACTATGTTTTGAGCCCTAATCTATGATTTTCGAGAAAACAAATTTCTTTTTTTATTAAGACACACCTAATAAACAACCAAGGCTCGAGAATAAAACGTAAAACCGCAAATTTTTCATCGATAAATCTGAAACAGACTTGTCTTCGTAATCCTCGTCTAACAGCCATTTTGGTCAATAGAACGGTTATTCTTCCGCGAAACAAAAAGATCCCACATAAGATATTTGTTATTTGTTAACGATCGGGGTGCGATCAATACTTAATGTACATATAATGCGTTGAAAATGTACAAAGATACGAAATATTTAGCTTATTTAATCTCCTAGGCGTTCGACAAGAGTTTGAGTAAGGCGTAGTGATAGCGCACTTTACAAATGTGACGTCAATGGTGTTACCGTAACCTTGGTGTGATTACAATTCATCATACATACATACATGGCGAGGATAGTCATGCTGTATTTCTTTAACTTTTGATATGTGATTAATTATTATAATTGGGGAGTACCGTTGTGTGATGCTGGTGTGTTCTGAAAGTGATTTAGATAGGTGCGTGCACAGTGCAGAATGAATTTCGAAATTCCACCAGGATTAACTGATTTGTTGCAGGATTTTACTGTTGCGGTTTTGAGAGAGAGGCCGCCGGAGTTGGTACAATTCGCGGTGGATTATTTTAATAAACTGAATGAGAGTAAGAATGCTGACAAGTATCAGAAAAGGGGCGGTGTTAGATTTGTTGATTCCCCTGTTGCAGCATCCCCTCTCCCAATCGAACCCATGCAAACCGATGATGAAGACGACGATGAGCCAATGGGTAAGAATACATTATTCCGACCCTCTGTTAAGTTGGTCCATTCATTTTCATCATCACTCAGTTTGAGTCAATGACATGTTTTATAAGTAAAGTAGTAATGTAAGTATAGCTATAAAAATGGACCAGTTACCGGTAGATTAATAAAAGGAAAATGAATTTCCCAATGTATGAACTAAGTCTTCATCGCTCCGTAGTACTAGTAGTCCAGTAACTTTAACTTGAGTTGCACTGCAGTAAGCCTGAAAGTGAAATAATACAAACGCCTTTTCAGATCAGCATGGGTGGATTTAACAAATATGATTATTTATTAATTAATTGAGAAAGTCAAATAGTGGTCACCCCACCGGTAACTTACCCCTTCCATATCTAATAGGCTTAAATCATGATTTTAGGCCTTTGTTGGTTGGGGTCACTGAAACAACCAAGTAAGATGCAACCAACACTGGCAAGGAAATATTGCCGGACATTTGACTTACTCCTTAGAAAGTATATATTTACCCATCACTCAGTCAAGAAATATAATAATATTATGGCATTAATATTACAAGTACTTGAAATAACAAAATTGAATGTTTATTTCAATTAATCTTGTTAGCATATAAATCTATTACATTTACATGAGCCTAATAAATATTGCAATCTTCCTCTTGAGTGAGACACAAAGCAAAGGCGGGTAGCTACATGTAAGTAAACTTGGTGATTGAGAGATTAAGGTCAATAAACTTGGCCTGTTACATTATTCCTATATAAGCTTATTGTACATATATGTAGGCTATATCGTAAACCTGAATAAAAGTAAGCTTATTCATTTAATTCACAATTCAATCGATGTCAATGCTACAGACATGCCATTGATTAATTGCAATTGTATACTCTTAAGTTTATAATGCTTGTTTATTGCGATATTTGTACATGTATACAAAAGCCACAGTACATTTATACAAAAGCCACAGTACATAATGTATGTAATTGACGTAAATGTAATCTCATTGATTCAATCACTACCATCACTACTTCTATTCCCAAGTCTAAAATTTAATACTGACAAGTTCCAATTAAAAATAGGTGATATCTTCATCATTTAATGGATTAATGTAAATGCACCAAAAGAGTTTGTATTTTACAGCCTATCCGTCTGATAGTCAGGTTGTCATTTGAGGGATTTTGAATCTTGTGCAAACAACAAATTGCGAATATTGAATCTCTAAAAGGAATATCATTCTAAAAGTGGTTAGCAACATTCAGCATTCTCTGCAGATTCAACTTGCACAATATTTGCAAGTGATTGAAAATAACACAAATGAGGATAATTGGCTTTAATAGATTAAATTACGGTTTATCAAATATCCAAAACCCTGCAAACAATCGTGAAAGTTTCAGTGGGGAAGTACTATGTAAAATAGTTTTTTAAGATTAGTTTCTAGTCATATTAATATTGAATGCTATGATTTCTCCCATAATGTTGATAAGCGTTCTGCATTTCACAAAGGTACTGTACATGTATGCCATGATACATGTATACTACTGTATTTCAGAGTGAGTTACACATAAGAGCAGATATTAAACTTTAACCAGTCAGGGATTCGATATTGCACAGTAGAATGTTTGTTGTTTATTGACCTTTCAAGTTATAGATTCTTAATTCCACTGGACCTGTACATGAATAACACTGTGAGTTAAAAGTAACTTGAGAATACACAGTGAACATAATGTTTACTAGCAGATTGGCCATCAAATAATTATAGAAGCTAGCTTTGAACTCAGCTTTAAAAACTTTAAATCGAAACCTACTGAAACCCCAGGGATTAGGGTTAGGGTGATTTTTTGAGTGATGAAAATTGGAAAATTGTGTATTTTCAGTATGATTTCAATTATTTGAATTAAAATATATGTAATTATAAATTGTTGTTTCTCCATATGATTTGATTTACAGATATATCAAATTTGAATTTGAAGCCTGGTTTATAAAACCAGTTTGAGTTTCTGTGGCTAATGTGGTCTATTAGTGTAATTATATTAAACATTGACTTGAAATCACTTTGAGTTATCACTGGGGAATACAGTACACATGTACTTGATGTTTAACGGATTAGGGACACCAAATAGTAGAATCTTGGTGTTTATTGACCTTAAATTGTAGAATCACTGTAGGGAATAGGAATTAACATTACCATTTACTGGGCTAGAGATATTGCCTAGTAAGTGTTTATTGGCCTTCACATCAGATTTGTGGTGACAATCTGAACACTTACAATGTAACAGTATTACATTGTACATGTATATTATTTACAGTACTATATAATATAATCCCCATAAGACATTAATACAATTTAAGTTTGCTTAGAAGAGAGGGGTGGGGCATAGGAAAACTAAGTTTTTAACTTTCATCTAGAGATTTTTATTGCGTTACACATGTACATGTATATAAAAAAGCTACATTTTAATTGTTTTGTTTTTTCAGTTCCACCTCCATCTCGTTTTAGGAGAAAGTCAGGTTAGTATCTACATGTTAATTTTTTTTTTGTTGGGAATATACATGTACATGGAAGAAACACAGCTTTGGAGAGATTGAGTAGATTTAGAATATGTCAAAAAAACTTCATTTTTATACGTCCACATTTTCATGTGGACGTATTATGCCGTCGCCCTTGTACGTCCGTCCGTCCACAATTTGTTTGTGGACACTCTACAGGTCACAATTTTTATCCGTAACTTCCTGAATTACGGCCCCTGACCTCTAGAGGTCACAATTTTTATCTGATTTCAAAAAATGTTTAAATGTATCACCGTTACGCCCTAATGACACCAAGGTTGTGGACCCTCCAGGCATCACAATTTTTTCGGATTTTAATGAAACTTAAAATAAATCTTTATATCCCAAATATCTCAGTCCCTTTCAATATTTGCGCATTGCAGACCATTACTTCCTGGATTATGGCCCTTGATTGTGAGAAAAATTGCTTTTTTTAAAGCTTGTTCTCTATCCATCTCTTGCAAAATGTGGGCGTATCTTGCGTTGCAGCTGCTGGTTAAACAAAACCCTAGAAAAATATACTGTTAGTTTAATTACTGTCTTCTTAAAAGAATATATTGTGCTTTCTTTGAAAACAAAAGTCATTATTTACAATCAGTCCAAGTCAAAAAGTAGCCATGCTCCTCAAAACTATATTATTCAGTTCAATCAATAGTAACCTAAAGTGAAGTTTATAATTAGTTTCTTTCACAACCCGTATTTATCATATTTTACATTGTGTGCCACGACATGTATAATCATTGAAGTCTACGTATTGTTATGCTAACTGCAAACATAGAGGTAAAAGGGATTATTCAACCTACTTTTTTTCACTTATAATCTTTAGAATTATACTATCTCCATGTAGATAACTCTTTTCAGTCTTTTAATCATAATGACAATGTTTAATTCTAATAATGAAAATTGTTTTTGTCACGTTGCTTCTTTAAAAAAAAAAAAAAAGGCTGGGGGGGGGGGGGGATATTTAAAAAAAAAGAAAGAAGAGGATATTGACTGATTAAAAAAAACAGCTAAATATTATATACATCTGATGCTAGTCCCTTTTCATAGAGATTTTAATACATGTAGGTATATATGTACATGCCTGTGAGGAGCCGTGGTAACTCGCTAACCAGGCGGTCTCAGGTTCACTCCTGGTTTTGGTTGAGAAAGTTCCTTTGGATTTTCCGGCTTGATTTCCCCTTGTCAGTGGTGCAGGAGAGGGCCACGCAAGGACAGTTTCTAGTTGTTCAGATGGCACAAAAAAAAAAGAGTTTTTAATACATTGGCATGCACGTACATGTAAAAGACGCCCTGACAGCTTGAATTTGAAATAAAAGTAGACCGTTTGAGAAACTTTGAGTAAAGTTTCACTGATAGAAAACTGTATGATACAGATTAGATGTATGCCCATCTTCATTGCCCGGGCTGGTGCAGAAAAGTAGGACGTTGACACATTTGTATGCTGTCCTTGACACATCTTACATTTACAAAGATGAAGATGAAATCCCAGCTGGTGGAACTTCACTTGTAAAAGTCAATATATGTAATCAGTAATCACATAACAGTTTTGCAGACATCTTTTTCAACACTTCAAATTATTCAAATATTGACAGACTTCATAAACAGCATCCTACCGAGGACATGCTTATAGATTCTGGTGGGTGTTTATTTCCTTATCAAGCATCCAGTATTTCCTTACCAAGCATCCTTTCTTTGGCTAGATTAAAGATACAATATATATGTACTAAATTAAACTCTTTTTTTTTCTTTTAAAATAACAGTTTCAGCAGAAAGATATGACCCTGAAGCAGATGAAGAGTTAGGAGAAGAAGATAAAGTAAGTATATTGTCATTATGTATCTTAAGGTTACTTGTAGTGGGGGGTATATGTATCATACATTAAAGGCCATTGTTTTAAATTGATGTCAGTTTAAAATGTATATATTATATATGTAACCATCATGTATTTAGGCTGTGACTGCCATTGTACGGATTGTAAACGAAGGGCCATTATTATAAATTTGAGTGTCAATTTAAGATGTAACCATCATGCATTGCATTTGTTATACATGTATTAAGGCTGTGACTGCCAATGGAATGAAATGGGGTTGAATAAGTGCTTTATCTTTCTACATATACACTGACCAGGATAATGAAGATGTACATACACGTACTCCATGGAATGTGCTATTAGGGAATTTTGCTCAGATATTGGCGTTACTACCTAATATAATTTCGATTTAAAACTGTCAGGGGATCTTGAATCTGTATGATAAAACAACACACCTTTGCTTGGTCTTCTGTCCTGCACCATTGACAAGGGAAAGTCAGCATTGAGAATTTCTAAAAAACATTTTCTCTCAACACCGTGGCCTATGGTTAGTCAGTAGTGGCATAATCATTGAGTCGCGTAAATATACATGTATGACTGGCAAGTGAAATACACAGTACATGTAATTGATAATTGAATTTCTATTGAATTATCTTCAACCAATACAATTGTACTGTAATAGTGTTGAATAATTAATGTTTTCTATTGACTCATTTTGTTACTCTTTATTCTTCTTGTCTGCTTTAAGAATTGCGAATCACTGATTTGTTTTTATGGTGATAAAAAAAAGTAACAAGTCCTTTACCTAGAAATTCATGAGAATCTCAGAAGCTGGTTCAAGTGAAGATTGTTGCAGAACGTAAGCTCAGAATCCTCAAGATTCTCACACAATTTGAAAGGATTTTGCTGAGCATTTATGGTCGATTTGATTCTCTACCAATATTCAGGAAATAAACTTAAGTTGTTTCAGTAATAAGGAAATCAAAAACAGCATTAGATTATGAAGACTCTCACAGATTGCTTTCAAATAGGCTACACGCAGAAGTGTTTCATTGACAGTCGCTGTCCGAAATACATTAAACCATTGATTGGAAACTATATTCAAATTATCAGGAAATCTAATGTACATGTATTTTGTATTCACAAACATTATATTTTACAACAATTATTTCCAGAAAAGCCCAGTTTACAATCTACTAAATATCATGTAGCTGCCATTCCCTAGTAACTTACACTTGCAAGATGATGAATATGGATGTGCAATGTGCATTGTCTTTACAGGCCAATGTGCAATTATCAAACAATTGAGGGACTTAAGGTTTCCGAGAACCCTGTTGGTTTTCAATGATTTCCAGTAGAGGCTAAATTTTATCATCTAATTTACCTGAGAATTTTACACAATGTTTAAGATTATGTGATGAAGAAGCCTTGAACAGTTTAAATTATCGTATTTAATGGTACATATTTTGCATAATACATGTTTACTAGAAAGAATTAGGCCAATCAAATTTAAATTATTTGTGAATTACATCATGGGTTGTTACTCTTGATCAGTTTTTAGCATCTTAAAATAAGTGAGTTCCGACAAAAGAATAAATATATGACAACCTTTTGTGTGTTCGACTGCACGGACAACAGATCTGCAGTATACATGTACATGTAGGTATATGTCTCGTTGCCTGGCAATCTATCTTTTATCATTATCAACATTTGATATGTTCCTTCGACCATCTATTCGACCCACAAACTTATTTTTATCTTGAGAATATATTATTTTAATGGCAGCGAAAAATAGAATTATGTACTCAAATTGCATGATTAACCTACAAAGAATTCATAAATTTAATTATTAAAGATAGCAAGCACTGATTTGGAAATTGAATGTCAATGCTTGCTGTTAACCCCCTGTTGTCTAGCAACATGCATTTTAGCTATCATACTGTTCCTCTGGATTTATAATTAGTGTGATTTGTCATTGATAATTGATCAAGCATTAGTTTGAAAATTCCCACATGTACTGTTTCGATCGGGAGAAAGCATAGTTCATGGTACTGATTGAAGAAATAACTTGACTGGAGGAATTCTAAAGACTACAAATCTACTTTGGTCTTTTCTGTTGTTGTAGATGTGATTGTCCAGAATTTGCTGTATAGGGACGTTTTCTATCGTATAATTGCATTAGGATAATAAGCGATGCATGATCTACCTCACTTCGTTATTTCATTTATCTATCGATCTGCTTTTAGCCAACTCAAGGATTTCTATTTAAATTTGCTTATTTGCGGCATAATTTGTGAAATAATGGCAAATCCAAAATTTACTTCAGTGCTAGTAGAGTATAAAGTGTTTGACTTTTTCCTCTACTGTTTTGGTAGCTCCTTATTTTTTATACTGTGATGTTTTGGAGGTTTCCTACGAGCTTAACGACTATTATCCCCAATGAAACATCTTATAAAGAATATATTTTTACATTTGAACTGGACCTACTTAATTTATATACATAAACAATAGGTTGACTACTTATAGCTTTTTTCGTAGACATGTAATATCCGATATCGATAAGCTTCCAATATGGCAGTCATGGAAAGATCAGAGTTGTATGTTTAAAATAGTAAATTATTCAACTTTCAATAAATATATGTGTAATGTAAGGCATTTCATTGAGAACATTGGAGTGAAAATTGTAAAAAAAAAAGAAGTCTGTCTGCTAACCTTGAAAATAGCCATAAGAAGACGAGGGCAGTTCAAACTATTTATGAGATTGATTTATATTCATCTGCAGTATTATATATTTTTCTGAATAGTACGGACAAACCTTGATTAATTTTTTATAGTATTTTCATCCCACGATGTACATTTAGAGAGATGTTCATGTACATGGACCTGTAGAACATTTTCTGCATGCAATATTGGTGTTTTATGACCAGATAGTTTATTAGATTCCCCAAAATTAAAAATTAAATTCATAATATCCCAGGGGATGTGGATTAATCTTTACTTTAAACACCCAGATAGTTTATTAGATTCCCCAATATCAAAATTAAAAAAAAAATCTCTACTGTTAAATTCATAATATCCTGGGAGATTTGGATTAATTTTTACTTTAAACTTAATATTATACATATACATGTATCATCAGTAACATACATGTAGTACATGTAGCCCTAATCCCTGGCCTATCATTATCTTTTTCTGTTTAACCAGGAAACGTGATAATAAAAAATTAAATTTTCCTCTCTACTGCACCTATCTTTATAAAGAATCTAGCCAACAGACCCAAAGGCATAGCCAAAAAAAAAAAATAATTCTAAATTAAAGGTTTAGGTGTCAATGGATAGTTATACAGTATATCTGATATAACTTACTAGAAATAACGGGTTTTTAATCAGTTTTTCATTGCTGAATTATATCCGAGAGGTCTCCTTTATGATAAATATTCTTGGCTAATGCAGGATACTCTGGAACTAAAACTCACATTGAATCATCATTGATTGATGATGAATGGTGAGAGAAGATGCTTTCAATGGCAGGTTTTATTGGTCTGGAAACTTTTCTAGCCACATTCCGGAAGTGTTGAGTTTAAATGAATTAGCCTTGATATTCATATACCGGTGCATGGTATTATAGAGAAAACCATTTAAATTAATTTATTTCTAATTGCACAAAAATGAAGCTGCCTTGTTTGTCATACATGTGTAAATTATGTGACCCTCTGGTAGACAGCTACATGTACATGTACATTTATTTGTCTTTGTTACTTTTGTTATGTACATGTACTGAATGGTATATTTCGCATGTCTATTGGTGTAGCAGACAATCTGATTAAAATAGAGATCTATATTTCGTTTCGTTTTTTTATACTTTCGATGGCCTCTACCACATTGTACATGAAGATCTGACCAGTTGTAGTGTCATATGAGCGTCTTGTGACAGATGACGTCAGACATTTGATTAACCAATCAGTGTTGATGTTTCTAGTAGGATACCCACAGTTTTAATATTTATTCAATACAATTATTAAGTACATTTCATTTTATTGCTTTTTTTTCTACCTTTACTGTACAATTTAACAAATTGTCTGAAATTATGACTTACCATATGGGTTGGCCAAAAGTATCTTTGCCCCCGAGCGCTGAGATCATTTGCAACGTCACTGTGAATGTTAACCATCTTACTTGTAAAAATGTCATGGCTGTAGCTGATGTTTTATAATTAAAACTAAAATAAGGTACATGTACCAGGCTGAACCACTGGAGTCAAAACACCTGTATTGTGTATTCAAATATAGTCTGAGCTGTACTTTTATTCCCATACCCACACCTACATGTAGTTCACATGTTAAGTTTAATGGTGTTTGTTAGTAAACATCTGTTATTAATTTGTATTATAAACATACTTTTATCATTATATGTATGCTTTTATCATTATAATATATGCATACATACATTTACATGTATGTAGTATAGTACAAGTTTGTAATCCACCCAACAAATTTAGACAAAGGTCAATGCACTAAACTACATTGTACACTATTTATGTGCGAAACTGACTTCCTCTTCCATTTATTTTAAATAGTTTATTTAAAGAGACAACATTAACTTCCAGACGAAATGTTAAATATTGAATTTTAAGTTAATAACATTGGATTGTTAAGACAACATGTATACAATTGAGATGACTTTTTTCAGGCAACTTAACTATGGTCCAAAAATAATTCAAGTCAGTTTGATTTACAGTGTACATATGACACACGTCTGTGAATGAAAGACAGACAACTCAGAAATTCAACATATTATTGTATCATCAACTCTCACACAGGCACCTTGCAGAATAACAACCTGTGCATGTCTACCTAATGTAGTAATATTTAGTCACTATTTACATTGTACATGTATATCAAAATTCAAAGTTAGTTTATTAAATTTACAAATGTTAGTTAATGTACATAATTAATGTGATATTATTTTCTCTTTGATCATTCTCTTTTGAGTTTTAAAAAAGAGTAGTTATTACCGTAACAATACACCAATGGGTACAACAATGGGTACTGAACATAACTTGCTGAAAATGACTATATTCGAGGCCATATACATGTACATGTACATGTACATTGTAGTTAACTTAATAATGTTCAGTGATGTGCATTTTTTCTGATGTGTTAATATAATTATGAGTTGATACCACTCTATATTAAAGCAAACACATTTGTATTATATGACAAATAGCCCTAGGGAAACGTATGACACATTTTTTATATATATGTACATTATGACATAGTAGAGCTTTTTGACCGATAAGTATCATCATAAGTCTATTATACAGTGTTAATAAATAATATATATATATATATATATATATATATATATATATACATATACGTACTAATGAACTATATTATATGTATGTGTTAGGTATTACATGTATGTACGGGTCCTGTTAATATTTTAACCTGGCAGTTTTTATGAATTAAAATTAACAAGTAAAAGCCAGTATCCACATCCCCAATGACAACATCCTAGAAATATAAATCATAATTATTGAGATTCAACGCTAGGCAATTAGAAACAATTTTATTTCCATGATGAAGAATGTCTGTGGTCATGGATTTAGCATATCTTGGTAGCCTAGCATTATTTGCTGCAATGAAGAATTGCTTTCACAATTATTTCTAGAATCGATCTGATGTAGAGGAAAACAAGATCATCAAAATGATCAATTTGCAAGGACTATATGTACATGTATACATGTACATGTAGCTAACAAACATTTAGGTACTTTTGTATTACTACACGTGCTTGTTCATGTAAAGAAATGAATATAAATTACATGTACTATTGTACTGTATATGCTGATATATTGAACTCTTGTCAAGAAATGTACAAGCAGATTTTTAGCATCCAACATATTCATTACACCGTTAAAGGGTTATGCATTAAATCTGATCTTATAGTATAGTGGTATACATGTACATCTATTATAGACCAGAAGTAAATGATAATGCCCTGTTTGACCTCAACTTGGCAAGTGGTAAATCTGTCATTTAAGTTAACTAGACAAGTCAAGCCACCCATTAGCCATTATTCTAGAGGTTCATTTTAGTTTCAAATACTACAGGTAGCATAACTGCCCACCTCTGTCTGTCTGTCTGTTTTTGTGGACAAGCAAACAACCTGATGTTTTTATAAGATTTTATTATTACACCATAAAGAGATGCCCTATTCATTATTTCAGAATTTTGAGATTTTGTTGGAAATATATATTGCCCTGGTTTCAAAAACACTGTTGACAGGAAGTTATTGACTTATTGATATTATACATGTATGTTTGAAATTCACAGATGTTTATTGTTACATGTACATGTACATCAAAAGAATTAGTCATATTTGAAATTTATGATTTTCGATATTCCTCTTACTTCATACATATATCTTTCCTGTTGGAGGATAACTGGCGTGGCTCGTAATCAATATCTTTTTAAAGCAGAGCAACAATGACTTAGTAAGGTGCTAGCTCATTAATCAGTAAATCGTGGGATCCATCTCTGTATTCCTCGTCAAAAAACTTTTTTGGGATTCTCCAGATTAATTCTCTCTTCAGAAGTATCTTGCAGGCCGTGGATGAAAAAACTGAGGTCCCATGTACACCACAGCAGTGTGCACGTAAAAGAAACCTTGGCAGTCAAAATTCAATAAGTAGGCAGAAATGCCACTGTCCAAGCAAAGTTTCACGCTTGGCACACTGCATAAACAGTAAACTTCACTTAAGTCGGATCTAAGTGGACTGACAAATTTGTTAAGCGAAGATCCGAATTAGCCGAAGACCAAAATTCAGTCCTAGCTCGATTAGAAATGAACTGCAAGTGCTGGATAATAATTGATTCAAAGGCACATTTCAAGCTTTTGTCTGTTTTGGTGCGAGTAGATAACTTCGTTATGTCACCATCTTTGAAAAATGTCGTAAATGTTCCCGGAAAGTGTCTCGTACAGCAGACAGCGAGTTTTGAATTTTCCGGGAAAATTCTACTATTGCGTCGCATCAAATAGGCTGAATTGAGTCAAAATGATAGGGGAAAGTATTTTGAGGCTTTGTACATGGAATAGCTAACCGTGTTTTAGACCATCGAGACGAAACTGACTTAGTTAAATTGTGAACATACTGCCGATCCGACTTAGGCGAAGGAAAAAAGTTGTAATTAGATCAGATGAACCGAACATTTTGATTCGAGTTGAGCAAAGATCCGACTTAGGAAATCAGATTTATGCACAGAAATTTAATAAGAAAAAGGTGCAGGATCAAACGGTCCAAGCGATTTTATTCGAGTTGAGCAAAGATCTGACTTATACGAAACCGACTTATGCGGCATTTACTGTAGTATGATATACATGTTTGATCCTTTTTATTAGCCCAGTTGTTACAGAAAAGTAGGGCTTTAAAACTCCATTTGATTTTAAACCTGTTATTGGTCTTTCAACAATGTGTAATTTGTACATGTATACATTTATGGTACATTTAGTGTATATGAACACTACATGCAACTTTCATCTTTTGAATACATTTTTCGAATGTGTCCTTCTCCCCCATCAGTGGGTATTTATGTGTTTTGTTAGCATCCAACACTTGTTGGATGATTTGCTAAGTTACTGGATGGTGACTATAATTATAATATATATAAAATTCGATCTATTTTGTTATTTTATTTCAGCTGGTTTATCCCAAATCAGATGTGCAGAGACAACGATTAGGTGAAGCTGTTAAAGACATTCTACTGTTTAGGTCATTAGAGCCTGTAAGTATTATATTTGATTTATTTCATACATGTAGGGTATTATAACCGCTAGGTTCTTCAATAACTAATAAGTCTGGAATGGTTCTTCAATCTTTTAATTACTGGAACTTATATCTTACAAATAATAATAATTCAATACATTGTGCAATGTATACCTACAGCACAGTGGATGACCGACGTAGCTGCTACTAAGTCGGGTGACCTAATGACTTCCCTATTGATGTACATTAGCCTTTTAATATTCTAACTATAATTGGATAAGCTCAAGTGTTGACATGAAAACATATACTCTACAGGATTATCACTAGAGACATTAACATAAATAAACAATAATGGATTAAATACTTAACTAATTAGCTTGTATCCTGATTTATATTAACCATGAGAAATTAAATACTATCTAAAACTGACTGGTCATTATGCTTGGTCATAGTATTTGTTGATGGTATTCTTTTTAGTATTTCAACAAAATTTCATTCATTCATCCATAAATGTACATGTAGATAAGCATATATTGTTTAGACTTGAGTATTGTGAGTGGATGTGGGTGGTGCTTGTTATGCTTCCAAGAAGAAACTGACAAGTGAATATTTATTGCAGCCGGATGGCTATTACTTAAGTATTGTTTAATGGCCGAGAGCGAGACATTAAGTAATATATTGTAACAACAAGAGGACCGTGAGGTCCGAGTGTTTTTACAATATATTACGCAATGTCTTAAGCTCGAGACCATTAAACAACTTAAAATACAGATACTTGCACGTGCTTTGCAAGAAATACGTCACTCGGGTTCAATATTTTAACAAGTTACGATTGGCACATTGCCGTATGATTATTTGAAATAATGGTACGCCAACATCAAAGCATGACGTCACATCTGTATTTTAAAACAAGAAAATGTACACTACATAGTACTTTTACACCATGTGAATCAAACTAGGTGACAATATTCTATAAAGGAGACGGTGGACTGCTGAAGCTCACTGAATAAGGTGCAGGCTCACTAACCAGGGGGTTCAGGGTTTGATTCCAGTTCCCCAGGAGTTACCAGCGTGGTTTACCTTTTTCAGTGGTGCACAATGGTGTGCCTGGCTAGGACAGTGTCTAGGTCTTGTTCATACACGCTGGTGTGCATGTAAAGGAACCCTTTACATTTGAAATTTGATTTAAGATTAGGCTGTAGTCTCTGTCTGGGCAAAGTGTCGCTCATAGAACACTGTATACAGTATGGTGTACATGTATGGCAGTCTTCATTAGCACAGTCGGTGCAGAAAAGTAGTTCTGAATCCCATTTTATGACATTTCTATAATAGAGATGAATTTATATAATCAAATCCATTGTTGGTATCAGTATTATATATTCTCATGTACTCAAAATAAACTATTGTTTAAACCATTCTATCTAATTTAAAGTTAAGACAGATCTCATGGGGTTTGAGAAGTTTGATCTTTGATTATCAAGTAGACCTATCAAGTGGCGTTAATGACATTATCTTGATTATTTTGTCTAACGCTTTTGGTAATCCAAACTCAATTCCGTGACCATTTGTCACTTAGAATTACAGACCAAAGAGGTTCTGTTCCATCGAATAATTTAATGCTTCTAGTTTATCTTAATTTTTACTACATGTAGTGAGTAATTTCTTTTTGATGATATTGTTTAATCAATTAACCTTGTTCTGACTTTTAAGGGTATTTTCAAACTCTTAACATTAACCCCCAATGTCGTCAGTACGTATGTACGCTGTATGTACGCTATAGGTCTACACACACCAAGAATTATCTGTGTGGGGGTGGGGGTGGGCGGGTAAGAGAGGAGGAGTGCAGAATATACATGTACCACACTGATTATTGCCATCATACATATATGGCGGTTGAAATTATTTAAGCACTTACCAATGCAACGAGTTGTTTATACCAACACTAAGTACATGTATCGTGGCATTCATCAAATGCTTGTAACATGCAATTGCAGCCATCAAAGTGTACATTTGGAAATTTATTAATCCAAATGGTTTTCAAGCAATAGATTGTCTATCAGTAATAGAGCACATGGAAGACGAAACATCAGGCAACTGTTGGAATATACATGTATAATTGAACCAAATCCAGTGGTTTTTCGTCGATGTATTCTAAATTATTTCAGTAAATTTAATTTACCTGTCTTACACACAATCCAGGTTTGTATGAAATTCAGCTACATGTAGATACAGAACTTTCATTCAACAGTCATTTATAATTACTGACAACCACCATTTAACTACAGTATTTTATTAGGTTTCCTTCACTTTAGATTACAAGAAATTAACTTTATGACTGTTCATTCTAATTTTGATAAATGTCAACAATGACCATGTGCTATAATTACATGTATAGCTACATTAGCAAGGGTGTGTTGACAGCAATAGAGATCTTTCTGAAACTCAACTTTTGTGATATGATAATTGATATTGGGCGTTTAAAATTTCGAAGGAAGTAAAAATAAAAACTCTAATTCCTTTTGTTGAAAAGCATTACTTTTTATAACCTTTAAGTGTCCTTCAGTGTATGGGTAATATGATTTATAAGATATTTAAAACAAGAGCCTGTCTAAATAGTCTTCATTTTGAATTATAGATACAATGTTCAGTTGCAGAGCAAGTTATTTCTAGTTCAATTCAAGCCATGTCTGCTTTATGCAAAGAGCTACATTGTAACTGTGCTAACCAATAGCTCTTGGACAAGACAGAAGTAGAAAAATGGTAAATTAAGCATGAATAAGAAATGAAGGCAAAGGCTAACACCCTCCCAAGTACTTTAGGCTTGTTTTTAATGAAAATCCTGCTAGTATTGATCCAAGCCAACAGTTACATTAATTGGTGGTCATAAATGTAGTGCTTTCCTTATAGTTTTTTTGCCTTTAGACATTGGTTTACAAGATGAGAGAATTTTAAAGGTTAAGACAGTAAATGTCTCTTATAAGTTATATGTGTATAGGTCTCTTGTAGAACATGTTAGAATCAAATTCTTCCATTTCCAACAAATATTCCTCATTTTTATCTTTTTTGAAGTGATTTGACACATTGGCGTCAGTTCAGATTTTTTTTTTAGATCAATTTGCACAAGTCAATAGATTTAAAAAAAAAATTACGTTGAGAGCTTCACAGCAGTTTTGACGTTAATAATGCTTCAGAAATCTAAATGAATTCTTCAATTCCTAAATATAGCACTTTTTTTTATCAGTAAGTCAGTACAATCCCTTTAGCACCAGAAGAGATTAGGCTGGATATAAGCTTACCAATGTTAAAACAGTCTGCTAGAATTTATTAGGCCATTGATTTTTTAAGAATATTTTTTTCTCAGATGTTTTCTCAGAGTTTGAACATTCTCGATTTGTTTTTTTTACAAAGCCAAGCCAATATTGTTATCACATATGATTGATAGTCTGTCAGTGGATTTATTGTTTTCATGCAGGAGCAGTTGACATTTGAGCGCCAAAGGATACCACTTGTATAATCTCTGTATTATGTACGTCCACATGCTATCTTTGTCGACCAACTGTCTGTTCTTGTGCGGATCGGAATAAGATAAATACATGTCACATCAGACCATTAGGTTTAAGATTGAGATTGTTTGATTTTCAATCCATAATGTCTTTGCTGACATTTTGCCATGATAGGAAAGGAATCATACAAATTATTGATGATATCTCAGAACTTTCTTCATACCATAATATTTCTTATCAATAGAAAAAAGAGTTAAATACAAAATATTGGTGGCTATAGACATAAGAATAATGATTTTGGTTGTACCTGACTAAATGTCAGTACTGAGGATCATGTATCTGGTATTTTGAACTTTGTTCTAGACATGTACATGTATTATAAAATGAATAAAAAACACAGATGGAAAACAAATCTGAGCCACTCAAAATGACATGCACCAAAACGGTTGTTCTTGTCAAATCCTTAACTTGTGCCAGACAGAGTCTGTGATAGATACATGTGTACCTTATTTCCAGACCAGCAATTTCTTGTGTTTGTTTCCAAATTAGTTCTTTTTCCGAAAAAATACATGAAGGGAGCAAAAATTTCAAGAACAAAAATTCAAATTGGTTTGGCCTCAAAGACATAAAGGACAGTCTTTATGGTTTTTCTTCATGAGTTTTATCATAAAGGACAGTCTTTATGGTTTTATAGATGTTTTAACGGAACATAAAACTATGAATTTCCTTGTTTATATTTATTTAGTCTGATTGTATTAGATTTCTAATGAATTTTAAAAATGATTTGAGTTAAATCAGTTCACTAACAACTACTCAGAAAACTACATTTTAGACAGGGGATATCCTATAGTTGGCATTTAAATTTATTACCCACGTGTACATATAGTTCACAGTTTGACCATTCAAATGAACTCAGGGTGTCAAACACAGGGAACGTGCATTCACAGGAGGTACTTTGTTTTGATGCTTTGCACCTGTTCACATCTTTCTTGTCATTTATTATGTAGACAAATGACTTTGCCTATTAAGTTTAATTAGAAACTTGTACTTGTAGCCTTTTGATTATGCAAATATTGATGTATGAAAGAGAAGACTGCTATTTATCTTTGATGTATATCAGTAAAACCATTATTTGCAGGTGTAGGTATACTTAATAAGATGGTGGATTTTGAAATTAAAGTGCTAGTTGTTAAAGCCGCTGATCATCATTTGAGTGATTTTGAATCCCTTTGCAAACTAGAGTTTCGTGGAAGTTGAATCTCCATAAGTAATATCTGTGTTCATAAAGAATTCATTTCTGTATTACGGCCGAGAAAGTTTATCAGAATATTCCGGCATGGTTTCCCTTTGTTAATTTTACAGGATGTAGGGCCTGACAAGGACAACTGTCTAGTTGTTCGTCTGGTTCGAAAAACTGAGGTCCTATGTACACATTGGTGTGCACGTAAAAATTCTCTTGACAGTTGGAATTCGATATAAGAGTAGGCCGTAGTGTTGCTGTCTGGGCAAAATTTCCCTCATACATGTAGCACACTGTATGGCATATGCCCGTCTTCATTAGCCCAATCAGAGCAGAACAGTAGGATGTTAAACCCCATTTCATTTTGTTTCAGTTCTGTATTACAAAGATTTGATAATTGAAAATCTCAACGTTCAGAATCTTCGAGCACCACCTATATGTTGGGTAGAATCTTTAGACTTTAGATGAACATTTTTATGATTTTATCTAAGCCAGGAGATTATGCACCGTCGATATTTTTTTTTTTTTTTTTTTATTTTTAATTAAATGTTAAATTTATCAATTAAAGTGCTTTTAAAATTAAAAATTTGATATTGTCGTAAAAATGCAAATATTGATCATCAATGGCTTTAACTACTGATGTAGGAGTTATCTTTGAGAACAAGAAAGTGAAATGAAATGGGATTTAACTCTGAGTGGGCTAATGAAGAAGGGCATATGCCATACAGTGTGCTATGAGGGAAATTTTTGCCCCGGCAGCGGCACTATGGCCTACTCTTATATCAAATTCCAACTCCCAAGGGATCTTTAACGTGCACACCAATGTATACACAGGACCTTGGTTGTTTGTCCAATCCACCCTGCACCATTAACAAGGGGAAACCACGCCGGATAATCCTGATGAACTTTCAAACATGCAACCTCCAGGCTAGCCACTTAGCCACAGTGGCTCCCAGTTTGAGAACAAGGAAATTAATGACATGTACATGTATATTCAGTACTAATGATTATATGTTACAAGAATTTGGTTGCTAATGATTCATTGATTCCTAATTTACGTGCGGGATGCCAATTTGTGTTCAGTGAATTACCTGCTACTCAATTAGTATAATGTTATTATTGTGCTCAAATCAATGGAATCTTAACAATTTGTGAACCTAACTGTTAACAAATAATAGAGTATTTAAGTTAAGCATGCTTCTAAATGGTACAAGTTGTTAACAGTTGGAGCCCAGGCAACGACAATTACAAAATCAATAATATTTGAAGAATTATTCAAATGCCTTATCTTACACAGGTCTACATTTCAGTTGAAAGATCTGTGTCTATTGCAGACAATTATAGTTTAGAAACACAACCATGATGTCATCTATTTGCTTCTATTCAGATTATCCATTGAAATTGTCGGTTTTATCTTGCGTTTTCTAATTTTATATAAAAATTTCTGTAATGTGATTTGGAAAGAGTTGATTTAAATTGAACCCTTAATGCAAATGTTGGAATAATAGCATCGTCTTCAATCAGACAAGTCAACAATTGGTCCTCAGGCTGTTAATAGTAATTTGGCAGTGTACCTGTAGTATTACACATCATATGATAGCAAGGTATTTATTGTTCACTGGAGGATGTGAATTTGTTTGAAAGTTTCTTAAATAAAGATTCCAACCGATCCTGCCATAAGAAAGTGCAAGGAGAGCAAATGATCACATTTGTCAGATTTTATTTGAAGGTGATTAAGCAAGTATCACAAGCTGCTTACAAATTTTACAGTTTAAATATGGTCATTGATTTGTTATACATGTACATCAAAGGCATCGGGTGAATGGTTGATCTTCTACTTTTTATATTCAGACAGGGTTAGATGGGGGCGAGTGATCACTTTTCTTGTTGAACCATCTGGCTCTTCACACCTTATCATTATCGTCAATCATCCAACTGTCAAAATTTGTTTCTTATAACTTGTAAGTTTACATTGTACAGAGATGATCATCCAGGTACATTAAAAACATAGAACAAATTAAATGAATAAGACTACTAGTTATTGCTTCCCTGTTCTCATGATGGACAAATTTAGGGCCTATATTTAAAGCAATTTTCCCTTCCCCCCCCCCCCCCACTGTTTTGTATGGCAATTTTTGTTGACTTTTTGGTCTAGAATCGAAGAGGAGTGTTTGAATTTCCATTTTCTGTCAGATTTTGATGAATATTCATGGTTTTGAGGTTGTAGGACCAGGAAGTACATGTAAACAGACATGAATTTGGGTGCTACTAAAATGACATCACTGCATATAAATTCCTTTAATCAGGTCTAACAAAACATCGAAACTCCCCCTGCCCTCCTCCCTTCAATAATTTTCTTCAGATGATTGTGAAGTGTTGGGATCTTTTTGGTTACATGTATAAAGATTAAAGATCATCAGAATGTTATAGACCATGTATTGATGTTCCTTCAGATATCCTGTACATATTAGTTGTACATGGATGACTTTGAGCCATGAAACATTTTCTTTTGCTTAATACAACTGATATAGTATATATTTCTCCAATTGATGGTTTAACATGTAGAGGTATATAATGAGAAAATTATTTCTCTAATATGTCTTTATTGGTTGCTTAGTTGCTTTATTGGCACAGTGATTGAAAACTAAGTAAAATTTGTAATTCTAGTAGCAGATTTTTCTTATACATAATAGACAATGTCTATACCCAAGTACCGTTAATGATATTTATTCCGTCTGATTGTTTTAACATACAGTAGATATAATCAGGTGATGTAATGGTAGAGGTGTGATGTTTTGTTTGATGGACAGCTAGATAATAAAATAACATGTATTATTTAACATGTACATTATCTTTAGGATAAATAATATATACACCTAGTCTAAATTGCATTGATTGAAGACGAGGACATCAGCCTAACTGTTGGTTTGTTTATTTCAATAATTTGTTTGCTCGCAAGAGTGTCCAACAGTTGGCGGAAAACTACATGTACTCCTTTTCTTGTAGAAACCTTGGATTGAACCCATGACTTGCATTGATGACTTATGATTTACACAGTGCATGTATTACATCACTAGGTCATCCAGTTTTATTTACTTATACAATATACAAATTTGTATCTTTTCAGGAACAAATGCAAGAAGTTTTAGATGCTATGTTTGAAAAACATGTAAGTATCACAATAGTCAAAACTTTACAATACATACTGTAGGCAAATGTAGATTACTGATCTCGACCATTCCGTCTATAGTAATTCTTATCGTCTTTGAAATTTTTGAAATTTCTATTCTTTTACAAGATTTCCAGTTGTAGCATACTGGTCATTAATATTGTTAATATCCAGGCAAAATCAAACCCTTCCCATTACAACTTTAACTAATCAATTTTTACAATCTCTTGTACATGTACCCGGAATCTATTATTTTTCGATATCGTCATTGATTTAAAATTGTTAGCAATATTTGAAGTTGACCACTAGGCCTACAGTATACCATAAATAGACTTGTATTACCTGCAGGAGACATGTCAAGGATATAAATATAACAAGGTCAAGCAAGCTAAATGGAACCCTACAAGTTTTGCTTACTAGTATGAACCTGTATAATGTCTAAGATACACTAGCATCAACATTTTTTTGGGCGGGAGGGGCGTGGCGTTATTGATGAGATATTTTTAAATAAAAATTGATTCTGTTCTGAAGTGCATTTAGTCATTGGTTATGGACAGCAGGTAGCTGTTTTAATAATAAAAGAAAATTGTGGGTTGAATTTAAGATATAGTAATTATTATATATTATCATCATTGGATGGGGGGGGGTGGATGGCTGAATCATAAAGTCTGTCATTGAGTCGACTGGGGTGGTTTCGAATCCCCGGTTGTACGTGGCAAGGAGTAGGGTCGCCTGTCCAACCTCAGGGGTTTTCTCCGGGTCCTCCGGTTTCCTCCCACTGCTAAAGACCCCTACGCGCAAGTGAATTGTGTAAATAAAATTAAACCATATGTTAGTCCCGAAATGACCTAGTTTGTGTCGAGTGGACGTTAAACCCCATTTCTCTCTCTCTCTCATCATTGGATAAATAGCATCATCTATCGACTATTGGCCAGTATAATTTTGGTATTAAACATGTTTGTGATGTGCTATGTCTACCCTTTGTCAACACAGTTAAGTAAAGGTTGAATGGTGAACCGTATTGATTATGTATTTGACGTATGACTTTAATTACAGGCTGAACCTGATGAACATATTATAGATCAAGGGGATGATGGAGATAATTTTTATGTGATAGACAGGTACCGTCTGCTTTTATAATCTTTACATCTGCTCTAGCTTAAATATTCTGAAAATTGTGTAGGTTATTGTTGACGGTTTCAAGTTATTTGTCAGAATAGTAATTCGAGCAAAAAAAAAACCTGTCTGAACAGACAAATTTCTCTGAATAAAACTGTTTGAAAAACTCCTGTGCAACTATCTGCAAGTCTGTGATACAGATACTTCTTCAAATAAGTCCAAGTTGTGAAATTAAATCCACTGGGTCTATGTACATGTAACTAATGCACAGTAAGATATTGATTGAATTTTATTTTCAAATGTTTTATCTCAAGAGAAATTAATGGAATTGAAAAACTCGCTGATCTACTGGTATACTTTTTAAAGTTTATTTTAATACCTTCCTTTAGGGAAATTGTTCTGTCATTTTCAATGTATGTAACTTAAATGATTAAATTTTCTCCATCAGAAATTTGTTATCTATTTCGACTTCTCTCTAAGGATTAGCTTAGTCTATCAGAAAGTGTCTTAATATATTTATACCCCGTAGAATACTAGACTAGATAAAAATGTGATTATAGACATTTTTCACTCAATCCAATTGCCTAATTTCCACTTGTTCGGATATGAATGATGATTTGTGTAATACTTGTGTATGCTTGGGTTAGATAAAAGAGATTGGTAATTGGTCGATTATGGGAATGAGCTGTATGTTGTATATCAATCTTATTGATTGTATGGTGGTTTATGTATGTGTAAGAGTTTTTTAAAGCACAATTTAAAATATCCTACATATATCAGGACAAAAATTAAATGAAATTAATTGGGAGTTTAATCAAATAACACACTTTTTATGGAATAAAAATTACTATGGTTTATTTCACTGTGACGGTTCAACAAGATAGTCATTATCCAGCATATACACAAATAGATAAAATAATACTTTCTCAACTCAAAATCCCAGACCCCCAGAAGATTGGTTGTCTTAGATTTCATACATTTGGAAGTTGTGATAAATCTTAATTTGTATGGAAGCAGAAAAAATGCATGTTGACAACTGAAAGTGATCAGATAAAAAATCTGTTTTATTATTTTGTGAAATGTAAAATTTACTTCTCTTTTTTCAGTCAGATTTATGTAATTGTTTTTATCTTTTTCAGTGGAAAATACGATATTTATGTTCTTATAGAAGGTAAATCAACATTAGTAGGAAATTATGATAATAAAGGTAGTTTTGGTGAATTGGCATTGATGTATAATATGCCTAGGGCAGCTACCATCGTTGCTACAGCACCTGGAACATTATGGGCTCTGGTGAGTTCTTTTTTTGTTCTTTTTCTTCTTTGTACTTATGAATTACTCTAATTGAGTCAACCTCAAATAATCATTATCACTCTCATTAAGAAAATAAAAATGTAATTATTTTCAAATCTACAGTAATATCATATTCAACCGTATTAGACCCATCTTATCATCAAAAATTCAAACACCAACAAACTAAGAGGTATTTCATCTGGTTAACATTTTAATAAGTGATAATTCATACCGGTGTATACCTGGACACACCCAAACAACAGAAACCGCCCTAGATATGTGAAAAGCTCTTTATATTTTATAACCGTTTCCCAGTTCTTGGAGGTGCCAAAGCTGTTTACCAGACCCAGAGCTATCTGGAGCAGTTTAAGCACCCCTAGTTCATTTGGTTTTGGGTGATCCAATTGCTAAAGTGTTAGAAATTTGCACGGCCTATCAATTTAAAGTTACAGGGTTGAGGGGGCAATAGCAAGAAGTAAATTTTATTTAATACATGTAGTAATATGTTGCATTCCATTTTAAATAGCAAACACTGAATATATGAACTACCGTTACTTCTATTTAGAGTTACTTCTTTGTCATGATATCGTAATCTACAAATAACATGAAGTCCTTCTTATGATACCGGACATAAACTGTGAAATGTGAACATCATGTGACCTTAATTCCTTGCAAGAAGTATAGATATAATGTTAACTTTAAAACCACTAAAATACTCTATAACCTATAATTCCTTCACAAATACTCTTTTAATTAGAAACCGCTATCATATTGCCTTGTTGTTCTTTAAGATGTCTGTATCTCAAAGATACCTTACAAATGTCTCAAATTGAGCATGTGGTATAAATTCAACAACTGATCAAGATGATATATTACTGTTTCTGCTGGCGAAAAAGTTGGTCTGATGCAAATGTAATGGGACTGCTGTGAATTGGGACTAATTCGCAGCTTTTCCACAGAGATTTTTCTTGCGTGAAGTGTGCACATGCTTCCCAAACCAAATGTTTACATTCTGGCGATGGTTACAAGTTTATTTTTGTTTTCTTTGTTGCATAGTATGAACATGGATTCTCTTCCACAAAGTCAATCAGACGCTCTTGTTGCTGCCAATTTAGCTTGCAAATGGCAGATTTTTTCGACTTAGTGTTATTATAAAATGGCGGCAACTGAATGTAAACAATGTTGGGCAGTAAAGAGAAGTCCTCACATATAACATCATTTATGTGGGATTCCCCAGTCTTTTTAGCAATTTTTTTGTACACATGGAAATACAAAAAAATAGCATGCGGAAAATGTGGGGTTTTTTTCTGCTGGCAGAAACTTGTACATGGAAAGCGGGCATTAATCCTCTTAAGGATGCAAACTGACCAGAGAAAACCAGAAAGGAAAATTCCAAGGAACTTTCTCGGCTAACACTGGAATCAAACAAAGGCCCACCTGGTTAGTGAGTCAGTGGCATACTCACTGAGCCACCTTGACTCCTCTATTAGTACACAGACTTTTGAGTGAATTTTGTCAACTGTAGATGGTCTATTGAACAAAAGGGTTTCATAAACTTTTGAGAGTATAGACGTTGATTAGATGATCAGTCATGAGGAAATTTTCGGCTTTTCAATTTGCTTATATCGGTAGTCTGCAGGAAGTAATTTAATTTAATTGATAAACATGATGATTTTAACTTAATTTCTCCCTCCATATAAACATCCATATTTTCTTATATCAGTAGCCTGCAGGAAGTAATTTAATTGATAAACATAATATTTTAACTTAATTTCTCCGTCCATATAAACATCCATCTCCAGCTTATGTGGTTTACATTATCAATTGATTCGCTATGCCAGAGCTTGTACATTCTGTCATTAAAGAATGTTAGTATTAAAAACTGTTAAATCAAGCTGCGGACCACACATTATTAATTTTTATTGACATTTTGGTAATGTATAACCATGTGGGTTTTTTTTTTTAAGAATTTAACGGTTAATTATGTAAAATGTTTACACAACATCTGGCTTCGAATATTGTTTAGTATTGAATCATAAAATCTTTGAATATTTATTAAATAACAAATCTATGTGTGTGTGCTGCACTTGATATGAAGTCTTATACATAAATGATAATAGATTTATTATTAGAAATACAAGTGCAATGTAAATTTGAATCCATGGATCTATTAAGCATACATAAAAGAATTAATTGATCAACTTAAATGAAAACTGTCAAATAACAGAAAAGAAATCGTTTACCATATAAAATGTTTATTACACGGTACATCTGTTGAGAGATGAAAACTGAAGAATGGCGGATAATTTAACTCCAGACTAACCAAGTACTTAAATAACATTTCCAATAAATCTATAGTGAGTCCTGCCATAGGGAAACCTTTATCAATCTTAGCGACATTTAGTCTGTAATCATCACTCCGACATGATTATAAAAGTTGAATAAAACTTTATAGATCGCCTGAACATCTCTAATTATGTGATATGATATAGATTGTTAACATGGTATTCATGTGTTAAATGCCTTAAAATGAAGCTAAGATTGTGAGTGTCATTTTAAGAAACTGGCTACTGAAAAGCTATTTACAAATGTATGTGATGCGAAATAAAAATGAAATGGAGTTCCAAGTCCTATTTTTCTGCTCCATCCTGGGTAATGAAGAAAGGTATACGTTATGCAGTTTGCGATGTGTACACAGCTCCCATCCGAAGTCTCCTTAAAGGCTCTGATGGTCATTAGTAGAATGTACTCAAATTGGTTATTTAACTTAATAAAATCAAATCAAAACATTATTCACCTGTCTTGGATTCAATCAGATTCAAAAGATTTTACCCAGTACTTATACATGTAGATGCTGTTCATTTTATCTGAAGAGGATGTTGAATGTTGCAGAATTTTAAATTCATCATATAGAATTGAACCATCTGTGGGTAGACTGATATTCCTTTTATAGGTTCAACTTTAACATTATTGTAGATGGCAAGGGATTTATGATCCCTCAAATGATCATCGGCAGATTTTAAGTCCAATGAGTCGGGGCTTGATGCATTTGACACAGCAGAATAACTTTTCTTAAGTGAAAGCCTTCTACATGTACTTCGTTTGATCTCCGGACATGAATACCACGTATATCTTTAATTATCTTTAATTATCTTGTTGGGTATGAACTATTAATGAACTGTGGATGAAAATTCTTTTGATATTTATCGAGATTTATTAATAGTATTTTATTCTCCTGTTAGTCATTAGTTGATTTTCTTTAATTTGGCTTAATTTTCTTACCAGCTATAAGTATAGACTGCCAAATCTATAAATTGGCAATGTAGTATTGTACTGTACAATATGTACATGTATGAACTATCATTTTCAGAGCAGTGTGCAGTGCTAAGGTAGAATTATCTAAAGTACATATGTAGCCTACATGTACATGTAGTATAGGTGATGTACTAACATTTTTTTCTTCCTGTTTTCTCACCTTTTTTTAATATGGCAGTTAATCGGTTCTTGGGGTAGATATTCAAATTTGAACTGATATCCTCTGACAGCTTCATTTTACAGGTCTCCTAGACTCGTGTCACATCAGGCTTCCGATCAACCATAGCAAAGATCTTTACATTGAAATTATGTACTCTATCACATGTGTAAAATGGATAGACGGTAACTCTGTCCTTTAAATAAAACAAACTGGACTGGAAACCTCAATACCAACAATATCCAGTCTTTCATTAGTCCATCCACCATCACAGAAATTTAATTCTCTCTTCCAAGTCACCTTGTAACGTTAAACATATTAAATACAATATTGCCAGCTAACATGCGTGAGACTTTTTTTTAATGAAAAACTTGACTTGAGATCGTTAATATTGATTATAACTAATAAAAATGTTTTTCAGTAAAATCTTTTTTATAAGGATAAATATATTAAAAATAAATTGCTGTCTTCATTATCCCAGTTGGAGCAGAAGTAGCAGAACACTAGGACGTTAATCCCCATTAATTTCATTTCATTATAGATAGATTAAAATAATATTCAAATTCTATAAGATAGAAATTGTAAAATAAAAAATTACTTGTTTGATTATAAAACAAACCGAATTATACATTGTCAAATAACATTTGTAAGTTGATGTACATGTACAGTACTCTGACAAAAGAAATCAAATGTTTTCAGCAAAGAAACTATAAACGAGTAGAACTGCTTTGTTTTGTTACCTCCAGTTCAACAAATGATAGAAAACAGACATCATTGGCCATTGTCAAAAAGCAATAACATTCAGTGTTATTCTCTATCTAAATAATTTAGAAATGGATATCCCTAATGATTGACCAATTTGCAGAAATTGTTCATTGGATCATATGAAAGAATTGTTCAATGGATCATGTTCAAAAGAATTGTATCTAAGTGAAGAATATTGTTTTATGATGAAACGCAGTGTTAGTTCCGTGTTTATGTTCAATTTTATGAGTGATAGTAAAAGCTATTCTGGTCAAAATTGTTTTAAAACAATTGTTTTGCTTCTGGTTGGCATATTACGAGACCCGACTTTCTTCCTAACAAATTTGAATTCCAAACCGCAATGCTGTCCGATATGAATATATGTATATTTCTAGACATGAAGATTGCCAGACCTGTAGGTAGGAACACCACACTATATAGGTAGGAACGATTTTGAAATTTGAGTTGAATCACATAAAGACTAATGTGGGTCACACATATATGTAGTTAAAGAGGCTTTATCACCCTTGCCAAAAAAATAAACACAATTATTATTAAATATTTTTTTCAAAATAACCTCAGACTCACCTAATTATAGATAATCCAAGCACTGACCTACGTACATGTAGAATACGTTAATTTTCTCACATCTGTTCATTAAACTCCTTGAAAATCGCTAGAAAATTATAGGAGCTTTTACGCGTGACGTACTTCTGGTGTCTATTTTTAGCCTGGCCTTTTTCTATCCGTATCTTAACATGGTAAATGCTAGGGAAAGCGGGGTTTTCCCTCTTTTTCTCTTTATAGAAAACGTATTCTTTAATGCCACTCTTGTTTTAAGTTGCGTGTAGCATTCGAAATAAATTACCGATTTCAAATCATGTCTAAGTTATTATTTTTTTGTTTTAATGACCTTATACTGCGTTGTAGCAGACGATATATGTCAAGCTCGCACACGGCCCAGTTGACCGCAGTACGCAAAAGCATTACAAAGATGCATTGCTGTATGAAGCCGATTTATATGTTTTGTTTTAATTTTACTGCATACAATTAATAGATAACATCTGTTTGGTTGTAAAATGCCATGAAATAGAGCATAAGAGTAAATTATAGAATGGGTAATTAAAGATATTGACCTGCGGTTCCACGAAAGAATTATTCAAGACGATATTAAAATTTAAGCACGACCGTAGCACATCATGCCACATCTAATAAAAAAAGAGAACAAATAATAATCACGATTTAAAGAATGTACCGAGTCCAGTTACATATTTCCATTCAACAGTTGTTCTCTGAACCAAATACTGAATAAGAAATTGATAAAATGGACACAAATGCATCGTTCTTCTTCCTGGTTGCGGCAAGATAAACTGATTGAATTAAAATTTCACTGAGTGCCAAAAGCTGAGCCAAAACGATTTATGTGACTACAATTAACAGAAAAAAAACGGTTTTAAAAATATTCACAGATTCAACTTGATCGTCGTTTTATTCTTTCTGTTATTCATATCCCATCAATCAAGAGGTAAATTTATAAAAATGGCTGAAGTTTTACCCCGTGCACCAAACAACTATTTTATCATTGGTGAGAGCCGTCTAAACGCAGGGAAATTTACAATAGCTATTGGCTAACAGCACGCATGCATAAACAATCTTATTTGCATATTGCATACTATTTATAGTATTATTAGCTGGAATTATTTTCAAGTCGACAGCCCCAAACAAAGACCAACATAGTACCGTGTTTTGTGTCGAGTAGGGTCGTAGCATGCGTTACAGCAGACGATATATCAATCTCGCAAAGAACTGTCCAGTCGGCAGTTGAATGTAAATAGGATAGACCATTTAAATCTTTTGTGTTAATTAATATATAACATCTGTTTGACCGTAAAATGCGTAATAAACTTCACTTAATTCTAGTTCGGGCCATTGAGCATGGGTCAGTCATCCACTTGTTTCAATTGAAAACGGCCAATTACGGGTCTGGTAAACTTGCCGTATCTTTCCTATATCGAAGTTTTTGTAAATATCGCTTTCTGGCATCGGTCGGTAAACCTTAAGCGTATATAGAAATGGTGTTCAGTTCCATTTTATGTAAAAGAAGCTTAATGTACGACGGTATTTTCACAAAAAAACACACACTGGCCTATGGTTTTCAGTCTACGAATAAGGCCAGTGTCTGCGCATGACCGAAAATGACATCAAAATGGAAACCCGTAAAAGCTCCTATATACATGTACATGTATACCCCGGTAATTGTATCTGAGTGATGATTTGACAGTTTGGTCTCAAATTTTGCATACAATATTATTTGAACATGTCCAGTATAAATGAATAGTCAAATCAACAAAATGCTTTTCTTAACAAACAGTGGGAGTGCTAATTTCACTTTAATATCTGTCTTCACTTTCCCAGACTGTAAAGTAGTATCTGAAACACGAAGTCTGGGAAAACCATCAAAGCAAAGTCATTGGAATGTATGTTAAGCTATCTTTAGTTATGACAGTTGTTAAAATATTTAGCATTTGAGTTGGTTTTAGGTTGTATAGTGTTACTGGATTATAATGTTTGCTATACTGAATTAGGTATTATCACTTACAACAAGAAAATTATGCAATTCTCTTGATCACCTTCAAAATAACGCACCCATTATCAAAATTTCAAGCATCAGACTACATCAAACAGAGCTATATTTGCATGGGCATCTGCTGAAAACGTCCACACATATTTATATCTCAACAACGATTTGCAGATGACTCAAGAATTTAGTATCCAATCTAGTTTGAACACATCAAATCAGAAATTTACTTTTTACTGAAAGCACGCATAACTGTTTAAAGGCATAATACAACAGTGTTAAAGTTATTAAATAGACTTTCAGACCTAATACCCCAAAATAAGCTAGACTACCTAAAAGTAAGCATAATATAGACTTTCTGTTAATTTTCTATTGATGTCAAGCCACCATCTTGTTTTTCGTGAATCTGTATCCTTAGCTTGAACTATAAATCATTTCTATTAATGAACATCGAAATGATTATTGTCCTTCCTAGAATTGAAGTCATGTAATGATATTGATATGAGGAGAATTTAAATCATTTAACAATATTTGGTTGATACCTTATTTGATGCAATAACCACATAATATGGTGTATGAATAAACTTCAAATAACTGTTTCCAATATATTGAATAAATAACATGTTCATCATTGATGTTAGATTATTGCTATTCATTAAAGATAAATTGTCCCGAAAGTATTATATCGGGGGGTTATTTCCAATAAAAGTATGGCAAATTTGGTATATATGGAAAGTATATGTCTTACTAGAAAAATACTGGATTACCTGAAAAACATCCATGCGGCCAGCACTGGGCAAAAATGTCCGGGTGTCATTAACTGGCAACCTGAGTGTTTTCTGCCAGCTTATTGTGTGCCAGCTTTAGGTATCTCCCCATGAAAAAGAATGTTTTGAGAGCAATTTGAAGCAAATTTTTAATAGATTAATTAGTTTGAACATGTTTTTAGTCCAAACATGTCATCAAATCACACAGTTTGTATGTGGGAATGTATATATTTCAATAATTCGGAAGACCAAATAGAAGGGTGCTTATTATGGCAGGACGAGTATTATTACATTAACCTTGTATAGGATCATTTTATTCCAACTGAAAATAAAATGACAAGCTTCTGTCTACCAGAAACAGTTGTACATTTGTATAGTCAAATGTTTGTGAAACAGACACCAGGAACTAAAAATTGAAAAGTTTAAATTTGAAACAGAACATTGTCGTACATGTACATGTTCAACTGATACATTAATCAATCAACACATATACCATTGCACTCAAATACCTCTTGATCACACTTTACAAATTCCAAGTGCTGTTATTTTCATCATAGTGTGTCATTTGCATTGCAAGTAGCAAAAAAAGAAGTCAAATTACAGTAACTCTTTCCCCATATGAATTAAAGTGATTCATATTGTGAAGTTTTATAAATGTACTAGAAGGAGACTGATCATATCATGTTTAATAAAAAAAATCAAATCAAATCAAATATACAACTGTTTAATAAAATTGTTTCTGATGAATCATAATGAAGATATGTTTTACAGATTTTTAACAATTTGAGGTTGTTAGTACTCAAACAATTATTCATATATATTCAAGTTCAATTTTTTTTTTTACATGGCAAAATAGCCTTGTAAAAATAAATAGAACTCGAATATTTGATGGCATTTGAATATTTTTTGTCTTTCAAAAATTCTATTGAACAAAATTAACAAATTTGAATTCCAATGAATACCATTTGAGTAATGACTTTCAATGGTTGAATGACTTTCAATTTTTAAATAATAATATTGACATTCAATGTGATAATTAGTATATTGCTGCTATATAGACCTGTAAAAATAAAACAACAATAGTTTTCATTTATATTTATAAAGTTTATTTTTGATTTTTCAGGATAGATCAACATTTCGTCGTATAGTTCTAAAATCAGCGTTTCTTAAAAGGAAAATGTATGAAAATCTTTTGGAGAATGTACCAATGCTCAAGTCTCTCAATGTAAGTACAGCTTCTTGTTGCAATGTAGAGTGTGCTTTTAAAGCAAGACATGCCATATTTGATGGGGTATACGTCATGGGCTCCAAATCATCCATATATCTACAAGTCCATTTTGAGTATAATTATTTTCATCTCAGTAATTTTCAGAAGCAAGATTCTATTTTGATGGCATTTTCTAACCTTCATGATTATATTTTGAATGGAATGTTTTAAACCGGCTCCCTTGTCAGTGATGCAGGACGGAGGGCCTGACAAGGACAGCTGTCTAGTCATTTGGATGGGACGAAAAACCGAGGTCCCGTGTACACATTGCGTGCACGTACAGGTGACAGTTGGAATTCGATATAAGAGTAGTGCTACTGTCCGGGCAAAATTTCCCTCATAGCACACTGTATAGCGTATGCCTGTCTTAATTAGCCCAGTTCGGAGCAGAAAAGTAGGACGTTAAACCCCATTTCATTTCATTTCATTTAAAACGGGCTATGTATATTTACAAATGATGTTTAGCTGACATCAATATTTTTTACATGTACCTTCATCTACATGTAAATTACTGTAGTGTATTAAGGAGAAGGGCTGATTTATGTGGAAAAACGTATTGACTGCTACACCAAATAACACAATGTTTCTTACAATGCATCGTAAATCACCACAATCTGTACTTAAAGATTTGTACATGTCTAAACTACACATATACAATGTAGCTACAGATCAGTAGGGTTAAAGGCTCAATACCACTCTTGTTGTAACTGAATAATATGTCCCAATCTTTATTCTGGTCAACAAATTGTACTATTTTACAATATTCCAATTAATTGATGATACAAATTTCATCTTAAGACACCTAATTTAAAAAATTGGAAAAATTCAACTAAATGATTTGAAAAAGCCTGACGTAAAGCTTTTCAAATGTGACTTGGATTTAAAAATATTTTTGAACCCTTTGGACAAGTAAAATAGGATTTAATGGATAATATACACAACAGGTAGGACACTAACACATCTAGTACTTAGAATAAGGTCATTTTTAATAGCCCACATTTTCATGTGGACGTATTATGCCGTCGCCCCTGTCCGTCTGTCCACAATTTGTTTGTGGACACTCTACAGGTCTCAATTCTTATCCGATTTTGACGAAACTTGAAATGTAAGTTTATAACACAAAGATCTCAGTTCCTTTCGATATTCGCGCATATCGGACCATAATTTTCTGAATTATGGCCCCTGATTGTACGAAAAATCATGTTTTTAGCTTGTGGACCCTATAGAGGTCATAATTTTTATTCGATTTAAAAAAACGTATTATTATATCACCGTTACACCCTAAGGACGACTGAATTTGAATTTCATGAAAATTGGCCCAAAATTGACAGACAAAATGGCCGCCGTTCATTCTCAAATAGCGGGAAAAAAATAGGGTATATCAAGGTTGTGGACCCTATAGAGGTCACAATTTTTATCTGATTTTGTTGAAACTTGAAATATAAGTTTATAACCCAAAGATCTCGGTTCCTTTCAATATATCGGACCGTAACTTCCTGAATTATGGCCCTTGATTGTACGAAAAATCATGTTTTTAGCTTGTGGACCCATTAGAGGTCATAATTATTATCCGATTTAAAAAACCGTATTATTATATTACCGTTCCACCCTAAGGACAGTTGAGTTTGAATTTTGTGAAAATCGCCCCAAAATTGACAGACAAAATGGCCGCCGTTCGTTCTCAAATAGCGTAAAAATATGGTATATCAAGGTTGTGGACCCTATAGAGGTCACAATTTTTATCCGATTTTGTTGAAACTTGAAATGTAAGTTTATAACACAAAGATCTCAGTTCCTTTCGATAGATGCTCATATCGAATTGTAATTTCCTGAATTATGGCCCTTGATTGTAGGAAAAATCACTTTCTTGTTAGCTTGTTCTCTATCCATCTCTCAAAAATGTGGGCGTATCCTGCCTGGCAGCCGCTGGTTTATTTTCTGGAGCTGTCAAGCCAGCAAGAGTGTTATTGTCCCTTTAAATGAATCATGCTCCTTTAATGGAGGACATATACTGCATATATATTAAAATCTGTTGTTCTTGCAAGTCATGAGTTTGATTCAACATTTGTGTATGGCCACCTGCTTAACCTTTTGGGCTATTTGCAAGGTTTTCTCCTAATAAAAATTTAAAGATCTGTATGTGTGGCCACAGATTATTGAATTGTACCATACATGTACATTAGTCTAGAATAACTGGCTTCTATTGGGTGGATGTTAAACCTCATTTCTTTCTCTATTTTCCTGTAAGAGATGCATTCAGAGGGAATTGGCACTGATGAACAACTTTTTAGGAAACCAGTGGTTAACAGTCGCTAAAACCCATTAATCTGTAAGAGCACACACACGTCAGCAGTTGTTACCATATGTGTTGAACTATATTGTAAGGTCGACAAACGGCCACCTTTATTTAGCGTCTACTACAAATTGCCTGATGTACTTTTCCCTGAACACTTGTTAATTCTAAATCAGAATCCTTATAGTTCAATGCAATGTTCTACCCTGCATTTACAATACTTCAAGACCTCTTTCCCATTCACAACATGATATTGAAAGTTGTATTTTGGTGCTTCGCTACACATTCATTAGAATTGAATTATTGACAGATTATTATCCGAAGTCTGCTAAGTTATAACATAGAAACTAGCAACTCATGTTATTGGAAAATGTAGGAAGTTATTCTGGGTTTATGAGATATGGCAGCTAATTTTATTCCTGTCACGTTTGACTTTTACTTCATTTCTGTTTGTACATTGAGACAAAAATCTCACGATATTTTATCATCCATAATTTTTCTTGTGAATGTTCACCAACATACCGCGATGTGCTCATTAATCCTGTCAAATTTAAGAATAGTGCATGTTATTTCTTTTCTTTTTTAAGTGACTTGAGATTTGAACATTGATCATTTACCTTTAAGAAATAGTTTATCATGTGATTGTTCATTTTCTTTAATTGGCAATTTGATTGTCTGGAGAATAAAAAACTTAGACATTGAAAGATTGGTCTTTTTTCTCGCTTTCAAATGTTAGAAAATATATTTCCAGCCTGCTGTTGTCATTTGAGGGATTTTGAATGTATAGTAAACTACAATATTGAAGTTAAATCTCTGAAAGGAACATCTCTAAAAGTCTAGAAGCATTTGATGAATTTTTAATACAGGTTGAATCCAAGCCGAGAGATTATCTATCATTGATATTTTTATTTGTTTTCTTAAAGATACCTTCCTGCGTACAAACTGGATGGTTTGATGATACATTTGGACTAAACACATACATGTATACAAACTAATTAATCTTTAACAAATATTCCTCAAATCCCTCCCAAAACATTGTACATGTATTTGCGAGAAAATACCCCAAGCTACGAAAACTCTGTTAATTAAAACAATTCATGTTTGTGTCAAGTGACTTGACTGTCGCGATACCTAGCAATGGGTGCAGAGCTGGAGGAGAATTCATTGCATATAAAAGACGATGTTGTTGTTAATAGCTGTCCATTTATAATAAATATGGAAGCTTAAGTAAATTCTCAGATTATCCCCTGCCCACGTTTTCCTTGGTTTTTATCTCAGAAACTTTTGTACGTTTTAGTCTCTCGCTTTTTCCACGTCCGCTCACCATTAAGTTTATCAACATATACATTGTACATCAATCGCTCCCTAACGCCAAGAGGTCGGACAATCTACGCTTGCAACCTTTGATGTCACTCGAGCAGTCAGCCCTTAATTGTCAGGCTGCCAATTAGTGACACCCTCCCATTTTTGTCCAGTGTCCTGTATTTTTCTAGTAAGGCTGGGTATCTCTACTTTCCATATACCAAAATTGCCATACTTATATTGGAAATAACCACCCGATAAATGCTTTTGTGGGAAAGTACATTTATCCTTAATCAAATGTTAACTACATATAGAATATTGTGAAATTTTAATCTCTTATAGAAATATCAGTCTAAAAATTCCATACAGTATTTACAGATAAATTGAAATTTCATCGATCGATCATAACAAGATGCTGCCATATTTAGCATGTGTTAATTCGTCAGAAATTTGATAATTTAGTTTTAGCGAAAATGCAAATGTGAAATGACTAATCAAGCCTTTAAAGTAACAATACCTCATTTTTATACTGCTGAAAGATCACATTTCTCATGGCTTAATGCACCTTAATATGTAAGGGAATCCTATTGCTTATATAATGATGCATCGAGACATTAGTCGGATTATTTTAAAACTAATTATTTATTTAAACTCTATAATCTATTTGGACTGGTTTAAACTCACCATCAGGTGTTGAACAAGACAATGTCATGTTTTCTACAGTAGCTAGGAGATGGTGAATAATGACTGTCTATTTTTAGTATTTCTCCTCAACAATGCTTGGTTGCTTTGAGTTCTCTGGTTAATAGTATATTATGAAGGATGGATCAAAAATTTCACCTAATTTGACACCTTCTCCTTGTGGATAATTCCAAAAGATTGTTTTAAGCATTTCTCATAAATATTTTGTTGCTTTGAGTTATATTTTCATTAACATATTATTATGAAGGATGGATCAAAATTTTCATCTATTTTGACACCCACGCTGTGCAGATAATTCCAACAGATTTATTCGTAATAAAGAGTTAATTATTTTATAAGCTAACATGAATTGCTGTTTGTTTAATAGATAACAAGCTTGCTACACCAGCTTAGACGCAAGATTTATCAGGTCTGACGTGTTTTAAACGCATATTTAAGCAGAATAATGAGATTTCTAAGATACAAACTTAAAAGCTTTCGTGTTCTCGAGAACTGTAACTTGGGTTTCTTATTAATAGTGAAGTGTTTTCTTGGCTGTCTGATAGTCGCTATCTTTTAACCTATTGATTTGTATAGATGTTGAATTGGCAGCTAGTTAAATACTTGTTAATATCTATGTTTTATCTAGAACTAGACGATAGGGCATTGAACTTCATCACTG